ATTCATTCAGGATTTTGTCAAAATTCAATACTTTTATATACATAGCACTAGAGTACTTAGTCCTGTATTTTTTAAATTACCATGACACAAATTGTTGTGTCCTACTTATTAGCATTTCTATTATTCTGATAAATACCTCTCATTAAATATTGATTCATTTCAGCTTAGAAACTATTTAATTTTATATTGGCATTTTTTCCACAATCTTTTGGCAAAACCAAAAACATTGGCACAGCAGCCTGATTCCTAAGCTTACATTCTTAGCTAAATTTAAACTTGGCATGGACAGTCATCCATTGATAACTGAGGGCACTGGTGTCAGTGCTCTCCATGGCACCCAAACTCATGGAAGCTCACATGCTTATGTAAGATGACGGTACTTACATAGAACCTGTGACTATCCTCCCATACACTTTCAATCCTGTCTAAATTACTTGTAGCACACAATAATTAGAAATGCCATATATACAGTTGTTATGGTTTGAATGTGAAATGACCCCCACAAATTCATGTCTTAGGAGTTTGGTTCCCAGCTGTTGGGCTATTTAGGAAGGTTCTGGAAACTTTAGGGACTGGGACCTATCTAGAGGATGCAGGTTACTGGGAGGCAGGTCCTTGGGGGTGTCCTGTCACTGACCCCTTCCTGTCTCTCTGCTTCCTATTTTCCATGAGGTGACTAGCACTTCACCACACATTCCCGCTGCCACAATGTTCTACCCAAGTACACAGGACAAGTGACCATGGTCTGTACCTTCTGAAACTGGAATTCACAGGAAATGCTTCCTCCTGTAAGTTGTTCAGTCAGGCATTTTGTTAGAGTGATGAGAAAAGCAATTAACACTGTTCTCATAGTATTCAAAGCATTTGAACATGGTCAATAACAAGGGAATTGCTTCATCTACTTATTTTTGATTTGCAGTTTCTTGAATCTGTGGAGTTAAGTTCTATGAAAAGTAAAGGTCCACTAATAATAAAAGAAGAAATTAGAGGCATAGAAAACTAAGTTAGAATATATAGGTGGATGTGAGACCAAAGTTTTCACTATAAAAATCAATAAACAGACAAATCAAATGCAGATAATATCAGAAATATACCATCCAAAACATAATAATAGCCCATAAGAAAACAAAAAAAATTTGAATCTTTATATTGTAAGCAAGTCACATAGTAAACTGAAGAAGATAGTTTAAAATGAAGAACATATTAAACTGAGGAAGCAGTGTTAAAAGGAGAAGGAAATGAGGAAGAAGTAAAATAATGTTTGATTAGCTTTGTTTTATACAGACAACTACTCTGAGCCCTCCACATGCTCTATAATGTTTATCCTTCAAACAATGGTAAGACATTACTTTGCCTAAGCTACAGTAACTAAAAAAGGAAAAAATAAAGAGGATGAACCAGTGTCTATAATACAGACATACATGGAAACATCACAATGAAACTCCTTGTGTAGCTTGCTATCTTACACAAATGAAAATACCTTTTATCAAAAACACAGAATTGGAAACTAAAACAGATCCTATCTGGGATTTGGTACCAGGGGGCAAGGCGGGGGGAATATAAGCAAAGGGTGAAGGAGGCTGAATTTACTAGAAATATCATGCACTAGTGTATGAAAATGGAACAATGAGACCCATTGAAACTATTCCAAGAATGGGAGTAGGGAGGATAAAGGGGAATGGTGGAAGGTAAGAATTCAATATTATATAACATAACAACTTGTGAATTTCACACTATTCTGCCAACACAACAATAATATAATAAAAATAAAATGAAATAAATAAAATTTTAAGAAAAAAATGCCAGCAAAAGCATTCTGATTTCTAGACTTGCATTCGTGTGTGTGTGTGTGTGTGTATTACTGGGGTTTCATATCAGGGCCCCATCATCACTAGGCAGGTGCTGTACTCCTTGAGCCATACCTCCAGCCCTTTTATTGCTTAACTTATTTTTGCCTGGAACTGGCCTTGGACTGTGATCCTCCTTCCAATTCCTCCTGCATAGTTTGGGATTAATATGTGTACCATCACTATCCAGGTTGTTTGTTGTGGTTCTGTCTTGTAAATTTTTTCCCCAGGATGGCCTTAAGCAGCCATCATACCAATCTCCACTTCCCACATAACTGGGATTATAAGCATGAGCCATTGAACATTGCCTAAGGCTTTGGTTTCACCATTTAAAAGACCAACCTCAGAAATAAAATTTTCAGGACTAGTTTGCTCTTTGTGTGTTATTTTTACCAGAATTCGAAGTTTCTACAACTGCTGTCTTAGGAATCCACTCCATCAGCTGCTGTTCTCACCACTTCCCCTAATCCAATCTTTGCAGATTCAGCTGTGTCTGTGCTGCCAACACTCATCCTGTGAGACCTGTAGACAGAAATGCAGGACACTAATTTGTTGCCTGGGACACGGCCTCTCCTTGTTTATGTTCTTCACTGAGCATCATCTGTCTCTTTTCTTTGGCAGTTATTGTTCTTCCTCAAGCAAAAACATCAGAGAGACCAAGAGCTCAATTATTCAATTTTTAAGTAGCAACAACAAACTTGCTGGTGATCTGACACCAGTTTCTCACTGAGAAGGTAATTACCACAAACATGAGTATGTCTGATTATCTGATATTCAACTGTCTGTCTATATATCCTTCTGTCATCTATGTATGCTTAATCTGTCTCTATTATCTGTCATCTATCATCTATCCATCATCATCATCTCTTCATCTATCTATCTACCTATCTATCTATCAGTCATCTATCTCTATTATTTACCTGTGTATCTAGGGTGCTAGGATTACAGGCATGTGACACCATACCTGGGTTCCAACTTGTTTTATTTAAAATAGAAATATTGATGTTGATAGTGATATGGTAGGAATTTTTATTGTAAATATATTGATTTCGGTAAAGAAATACTTACATGCAATTATATTGATTTAACCTTTGTTGATTACTTCCATTTGGTACAATCAGAATATAAAACTTTTTTAGAGGTTCACTACATTCATGTAAATACACACACACACACATACTGACTCTGAAATTAATAAAGACACAGCTGCTCTCTGAAGAACTGAGAAGTTTTTCTTTCTGGATATAATTTTTGGGGATTAGTCTTTGTCCAATTCTCACCTTGTGTGAATAAGATTGTCTTTCATTGGGAGCTGTTGCTGACGTGAAAAGTGTTTCCAATCCAGAGTGAAAAGCACAGTGCTGTGGCTCAGTGACAGCTCCTAGGGTGTGAGTGTAGTGTTTCCCTGGGATCCACGTTCTGTCTGTTTTGTAAAACTCCATAAATATCCAGCACCAGTGGCCACATGCACAACAACCCCACCCCAAGGTCATTTGCATTTCTCGTTGTCTTCTTTCCAGAGCTCATTTTGTGACCTGGAAGAAGCTAAGTCAGAGGGACGTCCCTGCCTCTACACTCATGGTATGCTGTACTTCTCTTCCCAGGTGTTTTTTCCTTAAAATTTTCCCATCCTGACCTAAAATGCCTTCTCCACCTTTCTCTCTGCTACACGTAAGACATTGGTGAAAATTTTTAAGATATATTGCATTCACTTTCTTTGATAATTTTTGCTGGTGTTACTAAGGTTGGGGTTTCTATACACACTGGAATGCCCCTTGTCTTTCTCTGCCATTCCTTTCTTTTTAAAATTTTTTTTTATTATTGCTATACTGGGGGTACATTGTGACCTTTACAAAAGTTCTTACAATATATCATAGTTGAATACACCTCCTCTATCATTCTTCTTATCTCTGCCATTGCTGAGGTGTAATGTCCATGGTTTTTCTGTTGTCTTTGGTATTTATAGTTGCATTTCTGTCACTATTCTTTGACTTTTCTTTGGCTATTGAAGAATGACCAAGTCATGATGCTCTTTCTCATCTTGCCTAGCTTGGGTTCCCTCTTCACCTATCTTAGCGTGTATAGTGAAGGTCATGATCACATGTTTGTGGCAAGTTGGGGGACATGGGTAAAATCTAAAAGTTTTGATGCTGATGGAAGAATCAGCTGTACTGGTCAGTGGAGAGACAGACTGAAGAGGATTTGAAGAAGATTCTTGCTGTGTGGATGGACTCATTTACCTCAGTGATTACTTCATGTAACAATGAGATATTTTCACCTGTTTCATAGGTATACATAGAATAGTTCAATTTTACTGAATATTTGCAATTTCCCTGAATATATGCATTTATTCATAACATCTAAATATATATATGAAAATACATATTAATATATATACTATAATATATACCTGAAAACAGTTTTAAATGTCTTAACAGCTATCAAATACTATGTGTGAAGTAGATGCAAAATCAATGTTCAGTGAGAGAACAGCCTGAATAAGGAACTGGAATAAATGCAGTTTGGATTTAAGTACATGCACAGCCATGGCTGAGTGTGTGCACCCGTGGGTGTAGGCATTCCTTTATAAAAACTAAAATGACAAACAAGTATTAATCTTAGTTCTGAGCACTTAAAAGTTGATGAGCTCCATAAGATTATTAGATTACTAACAGTTTGTACAATGTTTGCGTAGGTTCCTAAACACAACTAATGTTGACATGTTAAATAAAAAAAAACCTCAGTTTTAAGAAGTATCATGCACAAATTTGGATTCCTGTTGCCTTCTACCTATGCTCAAATTTGATTATGTTCCTCACCCAATACTCCAGTAGGCAGATTAAAATATGTCTGTAATACAAAAGGAGAACAATGTCCGTAAGTATATCTTTGTTTCCCTGTGAGCACACAAGAACTCAACATTTCCTTCATTATCAACTAGAACAGGCTCCTGCCACCTGTGTATCTGGAAGAACTTCAGCTGTGTGCTCTGGAGAAATACAACATTTCCATGAAGAATGCCATGAGCTCATTCACTGGCAAATCTTGGTGTTTGCTTCTTTCATATCACATGTGAGTTTTTAAAGCAAGCATGCAGAGTATTCTAAAAGAATGTGTTAACAAATCAGAACTTGAGACATTCTCTTATAGACAATGAGTAATGTTGTACAGAGTACACTTACAGTCATTTTACGTGTGGGATTCGTATTGGGAAATTTAGGAAATGGATTCATAGCCCTGGTGAACTGCATGGACTGGGTCAAGAGAAGAAAAATGTCTTCAGTTGATCAAATCCTCACTGCTTTGGCCATCTCCAGGCTTGGTGTGCTATGGATAGTATTACTTGATTGCTGGGTATCTGTGACTTTCCCAGAGAATTGGATCAGTGAAAAAATGTTAAGACTTACTTACTTTATCCGGCATGTGAGCACTCATTTTAGCATCTGGTTTGCTACAAGCCTCAGCATTTATTATTTTCTTAAGATAGCCAATTTTTCCAATTCTAATTTTCTTTACCTTAAGTTTAGAGTCAAAAAGGTGGTGTCAGTGACTTTGCTTGTTTCCCTGGTTTTATTGTTTTTTAAAATTGTATTGTTGAGCACACATTTTGGTTTCACGATTGACACGTGTAAAACAAACATGTCTCACAGTTTCAACTTAACTCAAGTTGTACAATTTTCCAAATTATATTTATTCACCAACACAGTGTTTACATCCATACCTTTTCTTGTGTCCCTGATAACTTTTCTCCTGCTGATCATCTCCCTCTGGAAACATCACAAGAAGATGCAGCAGAGTGGCATAGGATCCAGAGATGCCAGCACCATGGCGCACATAAAAGCCTTGAAAATGGCGATTGCCTCTCTCCTCCTGTACACCATTTTCTTTGTATTTCTTTTACTAAAAATTTGGAGCTTTAAGTTTCTGGAGCAAAATCTGCTCATATTGTTTAGCCTGGCTTCAGGAATTAGTTTTGCTTCAGGCCACTCATGTGTCCTGATTCTTGGAAACAGCAGGCTTAGGAGGGCCTCTCTTTTGTTGCTGTGGAGGCTGAGGTGCAGGTGCAAAGGTGTGAGACCTCTGAGTCCATAGACCATCTTGGGATCATCATGCATACCCTAGAGGAAAATCAGTTCACCTGAAATTCTGATTTCTCAGTTTCCACTTTTGTTAAATATTTTTCTTGCATGTTTCTTTAAGATGCTTCCAAAAATGTGCTTGGAGTAAGCAATATCCATTCATGTTACAATTTGGTAGTACATAGAACAGTATGTAAATAATGTACTAATAGTCAGAATTTTATCAAAGTAAGCCACTTAAATGCAAGAAATGTTCATTCTAACAAATAATATGATTTTTGTGTAACTTATTTGCCCATTTTCAGATTTTAAAATAGGAAACCTATAATGTATGACATATATGTGTATTTATACATGTGAGCAGTAGTTACTAAAGTAGAACTTTATAGTTTTGTACACAAAGAAAATGTATTTTTAATATGGAAAATGAGCCTAACATACTAAATATGAAATTAAATATTAGATATAGTCTATGGCATTCAGTTACACAACATCCACCATTTCATATATAAGCCTCAATGTAAAAATTAGAAAATTTCTGCATCATCAGGCTGTTCATTTTGTTTCTTGTCTATAGAAACAGTTCAAATGTAAGAACTCTTGGGATATATTTATCATAATTAGGAGCATATAATCTACTTTTGGAAATACATTTCTACGTAATTGTCACTTATGGACACAAACCATTGAGTACAGATTTTAAAATCATGGTTCATGATATGCCTTTTATTTGCATATCACACTAGAATATTTTTAAGGTCTTTCATTGGGTCATCTTTTCCTAGAGTGGAAAATAACTTAGGATATCAGAGCAACAGAAACTTAGAGCAACTTAAGAGTTACCAACACACAAGATGAACTTTTGTTGTGTTTATATGTTGTTAGCATTGGTTTAATGGCATAATGAAACAAAATTAAGTGTGTTTATAAAATAGTTGATAATTTGAAAATAAATTAGGTGCTGGGGGATATAATGGATAGGGAAACATTGTCACGTGCTGTATGTTGTGTAAATTTCATATGTATTTATATGGAAACCATCTAGATACATTGTATAATATAAAATATGATACAATCCAGTATATTTTTACAAATGAATAACTTTTTTTGAACTTATTTTTATAAAGAATTTTCCTTAAACTGCTAAGTTTGCTTTTAATATTGTTTTCTTGTTATCCCGATGTAGTTCGCTCATTCATTCCTTTGTTGAAAAACTATATTGTGAACATCTTTTCTGGCCTTGATCTCTGAAAGTCTGAGAAATTATGATTATCTTTTTGCTTGTCTTTAACAAACATTTTAATGAGAAACAGGTGTTATATAATTTAAAAGCGGGCATGTTTAATATATGACCACTAAAAAGAGGATGTGCTAATATTTATATGGCAGGTTAGCTGCGTAGTTCATCTTTTTAGTATTCATATATGTGTAGTTCTATTTTTCATGTAATGAAATTAAGGTCCTCAGATGTTAAAAGACTTACCCAGCCATGGAAGTTACCAGCTGGGTGCTGGAGTAAAAACCTCCAGCAAAGGGCACCTCTCCTCAAATCCATTAAAACTTCAGCACCAACGGGCTGTTCACAGACACACCTGGAATGCAATGGAAGAAACACATATTATGCAATTTTGATGCTCATATTAAATGTTCTCTGATATTACCTGTATTTGCTTTTTGTCTTTTTACTTTTACAATGAAAACTTTGGTCTCACTGCCACCTATATATTTTAATTTAGTATTCTAAGTCATTAATTTCTTCTTTACTTATTAGTGGGCCTTTGATTTCTGCAGATTTTCAGTGCCACAGGTTCATAAAACTGCAAATCAAAAATAAGTATGTGTAATAATTCCCTTGTTACTGAACATGTGCAAATCCTTTGAATGACAACGGTGCTCGTTTCTTTTTTCATCATGCTGACAAAATGCCTAGCAGAAACAGCTTATAGGACAAAGAATTTTCTGTGTCTCCCAGTTTCAGAGGGTGAAGTTCATAATTACTTGTCCTGTGTACTTGGGAAAAACATCACGGCAACAGGTACCATGGGGTACAGAACTGCTGTTCACCCTGTGGCAGACAGGAAGGGACCAGGGACAAGATACCCCCAAAGACCTGCCTCCAGTGACCTGCTTCCTACAGATAGGTCCCATCCTAAATAGCCCAACAGGTGGAACTAAGCCCCCAACACATGAACCTGTGGGGGACATTTCACATTCAAACCATAACAACTGTATACGTGGCATTTCTAATTATTTTGTACTGCAAGTAATTTAGACAGGATTGAAAGTGTATGGGAGAAAATTCAGAGTTCTATATAATACTGTCATTTTATATAAGCACATGAGCTTCCCTGGATTTGGGTTTCCATGGAGAGTATTGACACCAACGTCCGCAAATATGAAGGGATGACTGTCCATGCAGTTTGTAAATTAGCTAGGAATATAAACTTGGGAATCAGACTGCTGTGCTAATGGTTTAAGTTCTGCCATTTTATTACAGTGGCACCTTGGGCAAGGATATTAACCTCTTGTTTTCCCTTTCCTTGTGACCAAAAGTGGTGGCACTGACTTCAGGATGAAACTTGTAGAATGCTGAGTCTGGTTTTCTATATACAGCATACGAAGCAAACATTTATCTTCTTCTTCCTCACTGCTTTCTACATTCCTACTTATGTATGTATTTTTTGGCAGTACTGAGTTGAACTCAGGGCTTAGATCTTGCTAGGCAGATTCTCTACCACTTGCGTCATCACGTGTCTATTCCCCCTCTCCTCCCTTTTTTTTTTCTCTTTGCTTTAGTTGCTTTTGGAATAACAGCTTGCATTTTTCTGAGCTTGGATGACAGACTAGTGCCACCATGTCCAGCTGCTTTGCATATTTTTAAAGATTACTTTGTCATTCATTTCAGTTTGGGATAAATATTCTACCCATTCATCCCTTAAATATTTTTTTTACCAAAATACATGCAAATATATGAATTTTCCATATTTGGGTGAAATTTTTAAACATCAGTTTAGATAGTGTTGTCATTACTATGCAGTTCTAATTTGATGATTTATTATGAAATGGTATCTTTGTATCAATCTCACCTGTGATGAAATTAGTGTATTTGCAAATTCATGAAATATTATTATTATTGCCATTGATACTTCATTATAATATTATTTATTTGTTGGAATTAGAGAACATGTTTTGTGTAATAGCAATACTTTGATCTTTGATAGAGGGAACTTTTGTACTCGTTAACTGTGTTTGCAAAAGTTAAACATTTCATGGAAATAAGTCTGTATTTATCTATTTCCTTAAAACTTATTACTTCAGTTACAATTACAAATTCTGCTTGGCTTGTGAGCTTGCAAAACGTTAAACACTTTACAAAGCATACATTAAGTATTTTGCCAAATTTAATTACTTTGTTATGTACTCCTACAGTACCTGGTCCTCTATTTTTGAAATTACCCTGACCCTAATTGTTCTGTCTTATTTATTAATATTTTCTGTTATATGTTAATATCTCTCATTAAATATTGATTCATTTCAGCTTAGAGAGTATTGCATTTTACATTAGTATTTTGCTTGTTGGTATGTTAGCTCAGACAGTAAGAGTGCATGCCTACCGAGCATGAAGCCCTGATTTCAAACCCCAGTGCCTCAAAAAAAACAAAATGTGAAGCTACAAAATGAATAAACTGCTAGTGAATTAATTAGATGGAAATTTACCTACCTCTCCTCTAACAAAATTGTCCAAACATCAGTACTTTGGAAACCAAGATGCCCATGATAGCGTTGGAATTTTGTCAATAACCGAAAAGGGAAGAATAAATATCAGAAAGCAAATAACAGTCCTTTGACCATTCTTATCCTTACATCTTTATTCACAAGTTTTCAAACAGTTTTCATGTAGTGCTTCTGGCTGTGACTCTAGCACACACAGTGTAATATATGAAATAGAGATAACAAGATGTATAAATGAACAAAATATGCTATGTCATATTAAATATGCCATGTTACTGAAGAACGAACTGCAAGAGGTCCCAAAAGGTGAGATAATTGGCCAAGGAGACACTTCTCCTTCCCAAGAAACTTCTGTTTCACTTGAGTGATATCTCTGCCCTCAGGCAATACAAAAAGGCTATAAAAACCCAATCTCCAACCTGACCCATAGGATCACTGGTTTCGGGTCCCCCTGCATGTTCCCATGAGGCTTTTCTCTTCTCTTCTCTACAAATAAAATCTTTCCGACCTCTGCTGTTGGAGTCCGCCTGTGCTTTCATTCTCAGAGTGGACCCAAGAACTCTGAAGACCTGAAATTCCTGCAGGTGTCATCTGTGCATCATTATTTTTAGGGTCATACAAATATATGTGCTTATCTAAACTTTGAGTGTTTTCTCTATTAATGACAAACTCCACTTATTTAGTGATTTTCAAGTTTTGAATACTTCTAACTTCTATTCCAGGTTCTCAGTCATGTTTTTCTTCTCTCTCCTTGTCTGTTTTATCTTGGATTCATAGAATTGCTATTGCTCTTCATCCCAGCACTACCAAAGAATCTTCTTACTATCTCTCTTTTTTTTAATGTCATACACATGATATATAAAACACTTCTCCTTTTAATTCTGTCTGAATCACATTGCTCTCTCCTTGTAATCCAAACAAAGATCTTGACAAGGTTTAAATTCATCCAGCTCTCCTGACCTTCCAAAATGTGGCATGTACACATTTTTGTACTATACATATGCTTTATCTAAGAAAAATGAAGATAGAATAAAATCAAGCAACCTTGAGTTGCAGTTTATTTTATGTCAAACCTTAAAAATCTCCTGCTTCAAACTACAAGACACCTCCCTTTCTACATCTTATCACAGCCTGCTTAATTCTCTCGGCAGATTTGACAGTCCACTAGCTCAACATTGTTCTTTTCCTGTTCCATTTGTGTGCTAGGGCCATAACAAGATACCATGGGCTGAGCATCTATTTGACAGAAATGTATTTCTTCATAACTCTGGAGGCTGCAAGTCCAAGGTCATGGGGCACCATTCTTTGATCCTTGTGAGGAATCTCTTGCTGACCTGTATGCTGACCTGTCCTCTGTCAGTTCTCGGGGCCTTTTTCTGTGAGCACAGAATCCTGCTGTCTCTTCTCTTCTCATGGCACCTGTCCTGGCAGATACAGCCTCATCCTTTTGATCTCATTTAGTCTCATTTAAATATCCAGTCTTCAAATAGACACACTGTGGGCTTTTTCTTCAAAGTTTCATTTTCTAAGGCAAACACTTAGTCCACATCAGTCTTTCTAAAGTAGGTCCATTTTCAGTGAGGAGGTGTGTGTAGGCAAGAACCCCAGTCCTCTTTGTGTGAAATATTTTAATTGAATCCAAAAGAGCATATTTTAGCCAAGAATTTAGAGTTAGAGTCACATTCCTTAGCATATGAAAATACGAATAGATGTCATCTAACATGACTATTTATTTCTTATGTGTTCAAATTAGTTGTATCCTCTCTGGATAGAACTTATCATTACTTTATAGACACTTTCCGAATTTTACTTTCCTTTTGATTGTTGCAAATTTCTAATAATAAACACATGTGAATATTACATGACATTTCAATGAACATATAATACATACACAACAAGGTATACCATTGTTTTATGTACCATTTTAATTGCTAAAAAGAGACTTAAATGTATAATCATCTTCATGAATAATAATGCATATTTGGTACTCTTTAATACAGATTTTTATCAGAAAAGACAGAAGAGAAAGATCTCTCTGAAGATGATTTTTTAAAGCACATCTATATCAACTAAAATCAGGAGAAGGCACAGTGAGTCCCTTCCATAATCCCAGCCATCAGAGAGGAAGAGGAAAGGACATTGGGGTTCAAGGCCAGACCAGACATTAAGTTGGTGAGACACCATCTCAACAAATAAGATAGGCATGGTGGTTCGCACTGATCTGTAATCCCAGCTACAAGGGAACCATAGGTAGGAGGATTACTGTACAAGTTTGGTAAATAACCTGAGACTCTATTTGAAAAATAACTAAAGCAAAAAACAGCTGGGGACAAGGCTGGAGTGGCAGAGAACTTACCTAGCAAGCACAAGTCACTAAGTTCAAACCCAAATACCATCAAAAAATTTTAAATTAGCTGGGAGTCCAGCTCAAGTATAGACTGATGGCCTAGCCAAATCAAGGACTTGACTAAAACCCCAGTAATGCCAAAAAATTAAAAACAAAATCTAAAGACACTATTAAACTTATTGAGGAAACATTAGCAAATTTTCCATTTATATACAAACATCCCGGTTATTTCCAAAATTAATTACCATCTTCACATTTTAAGCCATCTCATTTTCTAGCCAGCACCCAAAAAAAATGAATAATTAGCAGTAAAATATCACTATAAATAGTTATAAGCAAGTAATATCATTTTCTAGCTGCAAGAGAATAAAAACACAAAACACACACTTTCATTGAGTAAGGCACCTAACTTTCAATTCGGCAAACAAACACACCTGTCCCTTTTGTGTGCACACCAATCAGGAACAAAATGCCACAGATAAAATTAGAACATTTACAAGAGCACCAAAATTGCATCATACAGCTTCTCCCACCGTGCTCCAGATGTGTCTGCTGGCAGCCTCTTCCTGTTGACGTTCCATCTGAACTCAGAGGAGAGGCATCGTCTGTCTACCACATGGCTGCCATCTTCAGAGATAAATCTCTTAACATCTGAGAACCTCAGTTTCATCACATGAAAAATAAAACTATACATATGTGAATATTAAAAAGTTGAACTATGCAGATAACCTGCCACGTAAGTATTATTAAATCCTCTTTTTAGTGGTCGTGTATTTAAAAATGCCCATTTTTATTATATGTCATCTATTTCTCACTAAAATGTATCTTAAAGGCAAGCAAAAGAGATGATTAGAGCTCCTCAGCCTTTGTTAAGGCCAAAGGCAGAAAAAATGTTCACGGTATAATTTTTCATCAAATGAATGAACTATATTAACACAAGAAAACAACACTAAATAAAAAATCTAATGATTTAAGGAAATTTTGTATAAAAATAACCCTAAATTAATAATTATAAAAATTGCAGGATTCTATCTTGCATTACATTTATGTATAATACATATTATATATATATATATATATACGTACAGAATTACCACAACACTGAATGCAAGGCACATGCCAATGTTTACCTCCACATTACATCCTCAGCACATAATTTATTTTCAAATTTTCATCTATTTTCTAAATTCATTTAATTTATTATTTATATTTTATTGTGCTATAAAATCAATTATAACATATAAGCATAACAATACTTCATGTTTATACCAGCAATTCATAAGTTACTTTAAGTTTCCGTTCCCTTGGAAACCTAGTTATTTTCCACTCTAGTAAAATACCAGTATTTTATGACACAAAGCACTTAAAAACACAACTTTCCAGTGTGATATACAATTAAAACACTTTTATGAGCCGTGATTTTCATTTTCTTATGCATTATAGATTCTGTTCCAACACTGAAAACTACATACAAAAATGCAATGTACTTCCAAAAGTGGATTAAATATTTCTAACTATAATAAATACAGTCTAAGAATTCTTAAATTTGAAGCTATTAATACATATAGGAAAGTAAAATGAACATCTTCAGGATAATGAGGAATTTTCTAAATTTTAAATTCAGTCATATATGAAAGGATGATGTAGTATATTTGTTTTGAATAGACTATATTTAATATTTCATTTATTATCTAACATGTTAGGCACATCTTCCATATTCAAACACATTTTATATTGTACAAGATCATAAAGTTCTATTTTAGTAACCATTTCACATTCATGATATACCTACATATTTTATATAGAATAGGTTTCTAATTTTAAAATCTGAAAAAGGGCAAAAAATCAACACTGAATTCATGTCACTCATTTCTTACATTTAAGTGATCTGAGTATACATACATTAATATACCTACTTTTCTTTGTACTATAAAATTGTAGTATATTTGGATAGCACTTATCCCAAGCACAATTTTGTAAAATCCACAAAGCAACATTCAACAGGAAAATATTAACAAAGTACAAATTAATAAAAAATTTCTTCTGACTGATTTTCCTCTAGGGTATGAATGACGATCCCAAGATGGTCTATGGACCCAGATGTCTCACACCTTTGCACCTGCACCTCAGCCTCCACAGCACCGAAAGAGAGGTCTGTCTCAGCTTGCTGTTTCCAAAAATCAAGACAAATGAGTGGCCAGAAGGAGCAGTAATTCCACTAGCCAGGCTAAGAAAAATAGCCATATTCTTCTCCAGAAAGTTAAAACTCCAAATTTTTATAAAAAGTAATACAAAGAAAATGGTGTACAGGAGGAGAGAGGCAATCACCATTTGCAAGGCTTTTATGTGCGCCATGGTGCTGGAGTCTCTGGATCCTATGCCACTCTGCTGCATCTTCTTGTGATGTTTCCACAGAGAGGTGATAAGCAGGAGAAAAGTTATCAGGGACACAAGAAAAGGTATGGATGTGAACACCGTGTTGGTGAATAAAAAAATTTTGGAAAATTGTGCAATGTGGTTCAGAGTGGAACTGTGCGACATGTTTGTTTTATACCCATCAATCCCAAAATCAATGTGTGTGTTCAGAAGCACAATTTTTGTAAATAAGAAAACCAGAGACACCATCAATGTCACTGACACCACCTTTTTAACTCTAAACTTGAGGTAAAGAAAATTTGAGTTGGAAAAACTGGCTATCTTAAGAAAATAATAGATGCTGAGACCTGTTGCAAGCCAGATGCTAAAGTGACTGCTCACATGCCTGGTAATGTACACAAGTCTTAACGTTTCTTTAGTGATCCAATTCCCTGGGAAAGTCACAGATACCCACCAATCAAATAGCACTATCCAGAGCAGAGCAATTCTGGAGATGGCCAAAGCAGTGAGGATTTGATCAACTGAAGACATCTTTCTTCTCTTGACCCAGTCAATGCAGTTCACCAGGGCTATGAATCCATTTCCTAAATTTCCCAGTATGAATGCTACACCTAAAATCATTGTGAAAGTACTCTGTATGACACTATTCATGGTCTCCCAGAGAGTGTTCAAATTTCTATTATCACTACTGCAAATTTACCACATATATTGAAAATACTGTGTATATTTGACTTCTGGATATTTATAGCATATTTCCTTTTAAAAACTCATATACAATATGCAACAAGCAGACATTAAGATTTGCTGATGAATGGGCTCATTGTGTTCTTCATAGAAATGTATTTCTCCAGACCACACACCTGAACTTCATCCAGATACACAGGAGCCAGGAGCCTCTTCTAATATGATAATGAAGGAAATGCTGAGTTTTCGTGTGCTCACATGCAAACAAAGATATATTTTTTGACATTGTTCTTCTCCTTTTTTGTCTTATCTACATATTTTAATCAGGCTGCTAGAATATTGGATGAGGAACATAACAAAATTCTAACATAGGTAGAAGATAACAAGAATCTAAACTTGTGCATCATACCTGCTAAAAACTGAAGTTCCTTCAACACTTCAATGTAAGGTTTGGTCTGGAACCTATGTGAACATTGTACAAACTATTATAATCTAATAATCTCAGAGAGATAATTAACTTTCAAGTGTTCAGTCCTGAGATTAATACTTATTTATCATTTTGCTTTTTAAAAAGATGTATACACACACACACACACACCACACACATCAACATGCATTTACTTGGATCCAAATTCCATTTATTACACTTTGATTATTCAGACTCTTCTCTTAATATTTATTTTATATCTAGGTCATGCTTAGTATTGCAAATAGTCATTAATACATTATTTAAAACTACTTTTGAGTATATATTATGTATCATTAAATGTAAATATTCAGTAAAATTGAATTATTTTATCTTTGCATGTGGAACAGCTAGAAATCACTCATTGTCCCAAGAAGCAGTTAGTGTGGTAAGTGGGTTCATGCACAGAGCTTAAATCCTGTTCAATCTCTGCCTGTCTACTGAGCAGTACTGATGCATCTTCCATCAACATTAAAACCTTCACATTTTATCCCTGTCCCCTCAGCCCCCACCAAAATCTGCTCCATGACATTTACTACAGGCAACAAGATGGATGAAGGAAGATACCCAGGCTAGGAAAGCTGGGAAAAAACAGCATGACACACTCATTCTTCAATAGTCATCTAAGAATCATGACACAAATACAGCAACAATTACCAAAGACAGCAGAAAAAAGCATGGATATTACAGTAACAACTTCCAAAGACAGCAGAAAAATGTGGATATTACACCGAGAAATAGAAGAGAAAGACATAGGATAGTCCAGTATGTAAAGGTGACCCCAAAACAATATTGAACAAAGAAAACAAAGAAACATATCTTGAAATTTTCCACCAATGCCCTCCATGTAGCAGACATACAAGTAGAGAAGGCATAATAAGTCAGGATGGGAAAAATTTTAAGAGAAAAACATCCGGGAATAGAAATACAAACATACCGTGAGTACAGAGGCAGGGACGTCCCTCTGACTTGATTCCTTCCAGGTGACAAAGACGAGCTCTGGAAAAAAGACAATGAGAAATGCAAACAACCAGGGGGTGGGGCTGTGCAGAGTGGGCACTGGTACTGGAAATTCATGGGCTTTTGCAAAATAGACAGAAATGGAGCCCCAGAAAGCATTACACTCACAGACTAGGAACTGTCCCTGAGCCCCACTACTGTGCTCTTTACTCTGGATTGGAAATACTGTAGGTTTGCACTTGAGCAACAGCTCCAAGGGAAAGACAATCTTTTTCATTCAGGGTAAGAATGGGACAATCATTAATCCACAAAAATTATAACCAGAAAAAAAAAAGGTCAGTTTCTCAGAGAGCACCTTTGTCTTTATCTATTTCAGAGTGTTGTATGTGTGGGCATTTACAGGGAGCTAGTGAATTTCCTTTGCATTTCTTCATAAGTTTTATACACTGAATGTACCAAATGAAAGTAATCAATATGGTTTAAATCAAACATAATTGTATATATAAGTATACCTCTGCTGAGATCGATATATTTACAGTAAAAATTCCCAACATATCACTATCAACATTGATATTATTATTTTAAATAAAACAAATTAGAAACCAGGTGTGATGTCACATGTCTGTAACCCAGATAGGTAGATGATAGAGATCAATTATAAATAGATAAGTAGATAGATGATAGATTGATAGAAGATAGACAGATAAATAGATTGATAGATGATAGATAAATGACATAGATAGATAGATAGATAGATAGATAAATAGGTAGATAGATAGATTTCAATAATCAGATAACCAGCCTTACTCGTCTCTGTGATAGTTACCTTCTTTGTCAGGAGCCTGTGTGAGATCACCAAAGTTTGGCATTGCTGGTTAGAGTTGAATATTTGAGCCCTTGGTCCCTCTGCTATTTTTAATTGAAAAAGAACAATAACTGCCAAATGAAAGAGAGAGAGGTGGTGTTCAGTGAAGAACACAAACAAGGAGAGGCAGTGTCCCAAAAAACAGCTGAGTGTCCTCCACAGGTCTCACAGGATAAGGTTGGCAGCACAGACCTGCTGATCCTGCAAAGATTGGATTTGGGGAAGTGTTAAGAACAACAGCTGATGGAGTGGATTCAGAAGACAACAGATGAAGAGACTTTGAATTCTGGTAAATATCATAAACAAAGAGCAAAAGAGACTTGAAAAATTTATTTCTGAAGTTAACCTTTTCATGACAAAACCACAGGCCTAGGCCATGTGCAGTGCCTCAGGCCTGTAATCCCAGACACATGGGAGGTGAATATTGGAATGATCATGGCTCAAGGCCATCTTGATTAAAAAGTTGTTAGCAAGACACCATCTCAACAGATAATCTGGGTAGTGGTGGCACCCATCTCTAAACCCAAACTACATGGGAGGCATAAGTAAGAGGATCACAGACTAAGGCAAAAATGTGAAATCTTATTATCACCAAAATAAAAAGGAGAGAGAGAAGGAAGGGAGGGAAGGAGAGCAGGAGAGAGGGAAGGAGGGAGGGAGGAATCCAATCAAAGCCATTCATCCAGTTCTTAGCACTAATCCAACTCAATAAACCAGAGTTCAGTAATTAAGGGAAATGTAAGTGTCCTCCATCAAGGATCCTGAAAATAGAGCACAAGACTATTTAGGATGTGTTCATATGGTGTTTCCCAAAGACCTATAGCTATTTACCAGAAAACAGGGCCCAACAGAAAAGTCACATATCCACCTTTTCTGGGGCTTTCTGGCATGGAGCCTGAACTGACTTCTATATCTACCCAAGGATCATTGTGTCTACTGTGTGGAGTGCAAATTTCCTCCTGCCAAGTATTCCCTAGAGCTTTAGTGCATGTCCATTCCCCAGAAAATCTATTAGATTTGTAGTCATTAACCTAATCCTTCTTGTGTAATTGAAATGCAGATTTGGAAACTTGTAGAACTCTCACATTATTTCCTGAGCTGTAGATTAAGGAATATTTTGTAATTAAGAGCAAGATGAAACTTCTGACACTCTCCCCTGCTAGAGACAATGAATAAATTTATTAACAACATTCTTGAAGTAGTGGAATAGATTTCTGCTACCACTGGGAAAAAAATATGAAAATTGCAGGGGATGGTGTTCCTTCTCATATCTCTGTTAAATTGAAAGATCTGAACTCAGCCAAAACCAGGGGAGGTATAGGATAAATAGAGATTAACGTAAATTTACATTGTACTGACAGATGGTCTCCAGGAGGTAAGTCCCTCCCTCAGACTTCAAACCTGGACCTCTAGCTGCTTGAATGACATTTGGAGAAAAGGAAAAGGGATCTAAAAGAAGTTTAAATGCCTTGGTCAAATGAGTATACCTCCATGTTGCAGTGATACCTCTTGACTCCACCACCTGAGAGAGTCCATCCAGGAATCTCTGCCTGGCCCTAGGGGAGGGGGGGGAGAAGCATCTGTTGGTGCCATTTTGAATGTAGCAACTCGATTAAACAAGGTTAGGGAAATCTTGGGATTTGTCCACATTGGTTTCAGGGATCTCCCATCTGTTTTTGTTGTTTTTCTTCTTCTGTTAACTATTCCCAAGCTGTTGGCCTCACCTTGGAGGGAGGATGGAGAATTCCATTTGTGGTTTTTTTGATGCTAACTGACATGGGAGGTTTCCAGATCTATTACATTTCAGAGTCCTCTGGGAATGGATTTTGGCAGATTGGTTCAAACGTATAGCAATAACCTAAAAGAATGAAAAAGGTGGGTACTTTATGCAGCTCCAACCTGACAATTCTATAATTTAGAAATGAGGAGAAATGATCCCTCAAGTGAGACTGTCGAATTACTACACCAGAATTTGCATTCAGAAATCATTTTGTTCAGAAGCGGATAGAATGGGCTGACAATCCATATGTGCAAAACCTTTAATTGAATATCTAGTACCAATTGAGTCTGAAGGCCTGAGAATATTGATGGTGCAAAGAAGACAAGACCTCCAGTAAGTAGGATAGCCAAAGCTCTAGAAGAGAATTAAATGCCTTGGTCAAACTGAGTACGTCTCCAGATGTGCATGTGATACCTCTTGACTCCACCCACCTGAGAAGAGTCCATCCAGGAATCTCTGCCTGGCCCTAGGGGAGGTGGGGGGAGAAGCATCTGTTGGTGCCATTTTGAATGTAGGCAACTCAGATTAAACAAGGTTAGGGAAAATCTATGGGATTTGTCCACATGGGTTTTCAGGGGATCATCCCCATCTGTTTTTTGTTGTTTTTCTTCTTCTGTTAACTATTCCCAGCTGTTGGCCTCAACCTTGGAGGGGGATGGAGAATTCCATTGTGGTTTTTGTGATGTAACTGACATGGGAGGTTCCATGTCTATTACATCTCAGAGTCCTCTGGGAATGATTTTGGCAGATTGGTCAAACTATAGCAATAAACCTAAAAGAATGAAAAGGGTGGTACTTTATGCAGCTCCACCTGACCAATTTATAATTTAGAAAATGAGGAGAAATGATCCCTAAGTGAGACTTTGAATTACTACACAAATTTGCAATCAAAATCA